AGTGAACTAGATGCTTTCCTTCTAGTTTTATAATTAAGGCAACGAAAAAGTGAATTAACACAGAAGTGATGGTTTGGGAGCCCAGAGTTTACTGAGGCTGAATGTGACTATACAGATGGATGCAGAGCAGTGCAACTGCTTTGCTCATGTACTGACCTGTCTGGATGCAAGGCACATTAGGTTCACAAACTGCTGAGCTGCATTAATTTAGCATCAGCCTAATAGTATGGCTATAGTCAGGCTATAGCCTGACTTATTTTGTCCACCTGTGCACAGTGAGTGGCATAGGCATAAGCTTCACATCTCTTTCTGATTGGTGAATTCCAGATCTAGGCACGTCTTACAGAAAATACATTACTGATATCTTCTATTTCCATATTTTTCAAGGAGTGGATTAACTTAAGCCTGTGCTGATTCTGAATGTGAAGTGTATGCCTAAACTCTTTGACACTGCAGGTGACTTTTCAATTTTTGTCAGCAAAACAAGGGTAAAGCATCATGGTCTCTAAACTGAAGCTACTGTCTAAATTTGTAATATAATTCCAACCTAAGTCTGAAAAACTTGTTTTTACTATAAAAATAATTCTGGGATTACACCCTCTGTACAACTTGGGAAGTCAAAGATGCACCTATTTTTAAAGGAGTTGAGGGATTTTTCCAGTTGAAGGTTTTACAAGTTACTGTTTGCAATTGTAAGCAAAGGGATCTCAGTGACTGGGGATATTCAACCAACTTCCAAATGTAGAGAAATTCAGGATGCTTGAGAGCAAGGAAGGGAGAATCAAAGTTTTATTGTTGGATATTCGGGAGGGGAAGATTTTAGGGCATGCTTGGACAGCCAAAGCAATGTAGCAATTAAATAAATTCTGAATCAGAAAAAAGTTACTCCAGAACTTCATCAAATAAAAATTAAGAGCTGATGGAATAGCAGAATTTCCCTAGAGCTTCCTATTGACAGCTGCTCTGTTTCCCCTTTCTCACCAAGTAAACACAGAAAAAATATTAATGTGGCATAGCAGAGAGATAAATGGTTGATCTCCAATGCCCTGGTAACAAGGCTTCTTAAACCTGTGTAATTTTTCTGTTCTCTCTTGACATTTTAAATAAGATGTATGTGCTGGTGGATGTTTCAAATTTTAAATGATGACCCACATAGTGTAATATGTCAGAAGAGCATTTCTCTGTCGAGGTTCTTCTGAATGAGAAATGTGCTACACAGCATGTACTACTAAATGTTAATGGCTCTAAAATTACACAAATTGTAAATTTATTGAATTGTGTTAATAATGAGATGAATTCTTATACTCCTCGCAGAATTCTGAAGCAGTTGCAACCTGATCAGAATTAAAGGTGTCCATAATGCTCCAAACTGACAGGTGAGAGAGAGAACACAGACAGATGATCTCACTGAGGAGAAGGAACCAATCTTCAACTGAAGAGTAGACTGGTTTTGGGAATTTTAGTGGATTAAAGGACAAAACAACACCTGGATTATGACACAGGGACTACAGGGCAATGCTGATGTGATTATGTAAAAAAGCATGCTTACATTTTAAAAAAATAACTTTAAATTTCTAACTAATAGCTGTGAAGAGAAGCATATCAATGGAGTGGTAGTAACTACTCATGTCTATAAGAAGTTTATATCAAGAGTGTGAGCTGTCAGCTATGGCTCTGAGTGTCTCCAGGGCATTATTTGAAGCTGATTGAGTTTAAGACTAGCGAAGATTTGGATAAACAGCACAGAGGAATAAGGTCACTGGCATGGTCCATTCTGTCCCAGGCAGAGAATGAAATTCCCTCTCTCTGAGAACTGACTGATGCCAGAAAGGAATGGGATTTTTCCCAGTTCAAGTCTAGACATAGTCTATTTCTGAAAGCTTGCAAATGCAAAAAATAGCTAGAAACTAAAAAGAGAGAAAATAGTTTAGATTGCTTTTCTATGTTTCAGTGTTGTCAACTCAGCTTGGATTTTAGAGACTATTGAGTGTCTGCTGTGTTTGTGAACTGCTATTTTCACTAGGTTTTATAGCTGTTTTATTACCTTCAGAATGAACATGATCCAATTCATCTACGGATAACTAGTAGGTACTATAAAATGCCATTCAGGCAAAAGAAGAAATCAGAATTTGCTGTACTTCAACAACATCACTGTGGCTTTGGCATGCATGAACAAGATACTGATTATGATGATTCTGATGTATAAACTTAATACAAGCAACACAAAGAACTTCAAACACTGGGTAAACCAACGGTGGAGGGGTTTTCATGTGAGGGACTTCCAGCTCCACATAGATGGAAATATTCCAGTATTGAGTTGGATGAGGGATGGATTTATTTCTCTAAAATCTGTTCTCCTTTGTTCTGTTTTCTGCCATACAGGATCCATCTTGGCGTTACACTGTACTTACAGTGGTTTATCTGCATTGATAGGAATGGAGTATCTTCCACACACTGCTGGAAAAAAGCATCAGATTATCAGTCACTTATCCAAGACTGAAGAATAAACAGTCACTCCCACTGCTGCACGTATCCCAGTTAGTACAGGCAGAAATACTTAGGGTAGTGAGAATGTATTTTTGTACCACTGTATAACCTTGAGCACTTTGTCTTGTCAATTTTTTTTTTGTTATTTTCATCCAGTCCAATATGTAATCATACAGTGGCATCACAGAGAAAACCAGATTCACACAATCACATTTCTGCATTAATAATGGGTTATACATTTGAAGATATTGATCGACTGCAAGGCAAATAAATTTAAGTAATACAGAATTTGAGAAAGCTGCTGACTACAGACAACTGAGCCTGCAGTCTTCGTGTATATTTCTTTGTTTTGGAGTATTTCGATATCTGGAAAAATGCAGAAATAATTTTTCAGGTACACCAGAATAATTTTATCAGTTTCTAATCCAAACTAAATGTCACATATCTTTATAAGTAAGAATATGAAATAATGAAGGCTGAAAGAATACTGAAGCAGCCAAATTTGATCAATGCCAGATTCCCATGTTAATATGTTAGGAAGTTTGATGGTCCGTTGAAATAACGTGAAAAGAAACCTTAATCTTTACATGCGGTGAACAAACAACCAAAGTCTATCACTGGTCTTCATTGGTATTTCTTTGAGATGTAAAAACTGCATTGTCATAGACACACTCCAACCACAGCACGTTCTCACTTACAGGGAAGGCTGAAGATTATTTGCAAGGTGATATAACCTATATCACCTCTTAAGGAATTAAAAGATTTCCCTAACTCAGGTAGACAGTAGATCCCCTCAGTAGCTACTAAAACTCATCCAGGACGAAAATATTTGATTACAATACAGTGGAAGGAGCTCAAAGCTGTAATCAGGGCTTATTTGGGAAATTTGTCAGAGAGATCATTTGGCCTTTCTCTACCATTCATATTATTTCTGGTCCCTGAATCAAATTTTGTAAAGGCAGCAACAATCATGTGTTACTTATAACTTTCTGTGGGGATATTTCTTTCATCTTTCTCAGGTTCACTGATAAAAATCCTTTGACTTCAATCTTTCATACTCTTGTCGCTAATGTCCTTCCTAGCTGAAGATCTCCTTTCTTCCATTCTGTGAAATGCATCATTAATCAGCCTTGTCCTGGACAGTAAAGCCCTGTATTTACCCATTTCTGATATCCATAGGTTGATCCAGCATCACGTACCACTCTAAAACATCATGCTTCAGGGCAACAAAAACTCATCTGCCAGCAGAAGAATGATACTGCTTACCAACTAAATAAACACAGCTTTTGGTTGCGAGGATTTCCTTTGATCTAGTCAACATTCCAAGTTTCTTTTTGACCTTCGCCAAGTGCCTTTATCTCTTTCCTTGCTAACTATGACTAATTTCTACATCAACAGGAGTTTTATGAAATTGATTAATATTTATATTCAAAAGGTAGAGCTACCCCTCGCATAGGGTTAACTCTAGAACCTCATAAGGTTTTTTTGTTCAGAATCCAATATATTCTGTTTCCTATGGAGTGAGTATGCCAGAACTGGTTAAAAATAGCTTCTTCCATTCATTAGAGTCAGCAGATAGCCATTAATCTTCCTGAAAGTATTGATTCAAACTACTCGTCTCCACTTCCAAGGCTCTTCACAGACTACCCTCTCTCCATCTATCATCCCTCCTTCCAACAGAAAAGGTGGCTGGCTTTGTAACAAGTGGGTGACAGTTACAAACCAGCACTCTTTCTTACATGCTGCCCCTCACGTCTGGAGGGAGCTGTACACACTATTAACAAAGCTTTTCCATTTGTCTCCTTTACATGCTTTCCTCAAACTTTCCTTTGCCATAAGGACTGCAAAAGTCATACAATGATGTATTCAAATCTGCCTAGGACATGATCTTACCATAAGGACTATCTCATCATTTCTTCATTTCTCCATCTCTGATCTCTATCTGTACCAAACTGCATTGTCTCATTCTTCTCCTAGACTGCAGGAACTTGAATGCAAAGTCCCTGCATTACGTACTGCCTAGCAGAACATCTCTCAGTACCCTATTGCAACATACACAGGTAACCAGAAATAAATCTTAGCTCAGGTGGTCACAGACTGAACAATCCCTCAGAGAATGGCACACAGTATCAAAACAACATGGACTAGCATAGGCTAAAACTGGTAAACCAGCATGGAAATTGCTTCTGCCTAGCTGTGACCTGTAACCTCAAATAATTATATCTGACCTTCACAGAATTTACTGCCTTAGGCTCTGTATTAAGCCAACATAGACATATTTCATCTCATTCACAAACAGCTATTCTGCAGTTTCCTATGCTATTACACACAAGATACACTGTGCTATTTCTGTACCAGCCAGCATAGATATGCCCTGAACACAGATGACAGATTATCTCATTTTCTTCTAGAATTGATATTCTGTTGTTTGCTCATAATCTAAATGGTCATAGTGTTTTCTTCAAACAACAGACTAGCAAATTTGACTAATATATATATTTCTTCTGCCCTAGTTTCAAGCTCTTCCCAAAGCCATACAGATGTTGCTGAAAGAAATAGTGAAGATGCCAGAGGCTCTCATCAGGAAGGCAAGACATCAAGAAACATCTATTCGTTTCTATCCCAAACCCAAATTCCAAGGCAAGAAACTACATACTTTGTGGAAAGAAACCACACAGTTATTAATGCAGCATCCTTTACAACGAAAAGGAAGATTTCCCAGCCTCAGATGCTGTCAGCAAAAATACCTGATACAGAGTCCAGTGTATCTGAGAAACAGACTTTTACTGAAAAAAGAAGTCATACACACACTTTCCTTCTGCATGAGGAGCCAGATCCCAAAGCAGCAGCTGTCGATGTGACTACTCCTACCCCTGTGCATTTTAAACAGTACAAGCCAGGAACAAGACAGACCATTCCTTCTCATCTCAACACAAACGCAAGCTCATTCTTCGCACGGCTACATGCTGTACAGCAAGCTCGTTCCAGATACAGCTTATCTTCCAGGAAATGGCCCAGTCAAGTGACAGGCTCAAAGACTGAACTCTCCAAAAATCTCCCAACAGAGCAGCAGAGAGTTTCTTCTTTGGAAACATCCCTCACATCCCCTTTGCATGAAATAGGTTTTTCCCTTGACACAGCTCCACAGAGTGCCAGCGTCCTGCCTGGACCTGCTCCCCCAGCAAGGCTTCCAGCACATACCACAACCTTCAGAAGAGCATCCATTGTAGCAATGGACCATGTAGAACTGCCAAAACCCATCAGTGGGTCCCATGAGAAAGCTCTCTGTGGTTCAACACCATGCTTTAGTGGTGTGCAGTGTGAGCTAGCCAAAGATGGAGAATTTAAATGTGGGTCTTGTCCCAGTGGATACAGCGGTAATGGAATTACATGTGAAGGTAAGGGGGGGGGGAAATCCTCATTCAAATTCTTTCATGCCTTCAAATCCAATCACTGTCCAAAATAATAAATAATTTTGATTACAAATGTAGAAATTTTTGGAAGCTGGAATCATACCGGTTTTCAAAACCAATTATACTTTAGAATAATGGAAAAACTTATCCTATAACTCAGAAAAAGACCTTTCTGTGCACAAAAATGACGCATTTATTTGATAACATCTAATCTATTGAAACCAGAGATAGGTTGTGTTCTTGCTTACCCTTGCTTAAGGCCAGATTCATTCTAGTGAAGTCATTAGATTTGAAACCATACAAAACTTCTCTGAGAAAGAGTAAAATTGACTCCATTTGTCTATACAATGATACTCTATGAAGAACTAATTGTTCTGCTACCTTAAGAATTACTTTTAAATAATTATCTAATATCCTAAATACAAAACCAAACCTGCTATCCAAAACAGATGGCACCAGAAAGGTATTCACAATATATTGACTTATTTATTAGACAGCTTAGAACACTTCAGGAAAGCAATAGTAATTCACACATTTTTAAAACAATGAGTTCCCTGACTGAGCTCTCGTTAATTACACCTTTTGTTGAAATCCCTCTGATAAGTTGATGTCTTAATTGGCCTTTGAGTACACAAAGCAAAAAAGTGTTTGCACTGCCCGTTTAATTCTCTCTGTGTGTGGTTGCTCACATTCTGCATGCATGGCACAGAGGTGTGTGGGGTGACGGCCTACCTCAGCATCCTGGGGATTCCCTGCTGTGCACAAGCCCCAGCAGCACTGAGCTTAGCTCAATCCTGGAGACACACTGCAAAAATGCATAAGAAAAGTTTACCATAATCCTGTGTGTCATAATTTTCACCTGCTTGCACCATTTTCTAAAAGACCATTCTAAAGGGCTGAAGGTTACTTGGTGTGAGCATGACCCTGTCTTTCATCCCTGTTTTGTGCCTGGAGCTGGAAACATACTGAGGAGCTCTGGGTATCAGGAAGCCCTGTACAAGCTGGAATGCAGAATGGCCTCTGCTCAAAGACATGGCCTATAGACACATGAACGTGTACAAACACAGACATACGCTGCCCTTGTATAAATATATTTAGTATGTCCATCGGCATAGTCCTTAAAACATAAATCTACCTGTGCCTCTTGCTGTCACACAAGACAAGATGTTTTCTTCAATTACTGGCATTTCTGAAAATCCCTCTGGAGGGTCCTTAAGATGAAATACTTTATTACCAATATCATTCTCTGCTCGGGGCTTGGTGGCACAACACACAAACATCCTTTATTTGTCTCTTGTCACTAAGCACATCACCTGGCTCAACAGCAAACCTCTCTGCCCCCTCCCAAGCCCCTTTGTACACCTGTGACTGCCAACCCAGAGCACAAAGGTGAGGATAATCCTTTGCAATAATTAAGGACTTGTCACAGTGCCTGCTGTCGATTGTACCAATTTTCTTCAAAACATCAGTACCCTGTAAGATGGCAGCAAAACTAAACAAATAACCAAAGTTTAGATGAGACCAAACTTTGTGCACAGAGCTGTCACCATGCCATTTGATATCAAAATTCACCAAGATAAAAGGAGCAGTCCATTGGTAGCAAGGTTTAATACCTGTGGAGCTTGAGGGGATTTGACCTTTGTTTAATAAGAACGTCTGAAAATATTCTAAGATAATAAATGCCTTACCGAGTGGCATTTGTCTTGTGACAGAATGTAGATTTTTTTATTTTTCAGTTGTGCAGATTCAAAATCAAACTGGCAAAGACTGGTAGGGAGAAAATAAGCACATTATGAAAATGAATTTGTCTTCTAAAATAAATTATGCTGGATTTTGTTTCTTTATTATCTAAAACATAGGAACTTGTTTTTACCTATCTTGCAAAATAAGCGTTAGAGAGTGAATTCTCTTATTTCTAGCAGGAGCCAATTGGTGAACCAAAATGAAGTAGTTCTTCAAGGATCTACTCATCACTTCCTCACCCTTTCCTACAGCTAGCCAGGTTCTTAGTTTTAGAGCTCTTTTTTCTTCATGCAGAATTATCAGTTGTCAATGGCCTAATATTAAGGTGAGTCTGCTACATTGGCAGGGCTCTGGCAAACACTATTCTAGAGAAAGCTGACATCACCTATAGTATAATTAAAAATAAGCAGGAGAAATAAGGCCTACTGCTGTCCACTGGATTCTTCTGCACATTCACTTGCAGAAGAAGCTTGCTTTTCTTTGTGGAATAAACTTCTAAGAGTTCCTTTGGGAATGAGGAAGGTTACTAAATCTATAATTTCTATTCTACATGTCGCTATACATGTCATAGAATCATTAAGATTAGAAAAGACCACTCAGAACACCAAGGTCAACCATCAACGCATCCCCAGCATGCTCACTAACCATGTTCCTCAGTGTAACATCTATCCTTTTCTTGAACACCTCCAGGGGTTGACACTACTATCTTCCTGGGCAGCCTGTACCAATGTCAAAAATAAATTCTATAAAAATATTTTATTATGGTAGGCTCTTAGCAGTGTTATGGGACAGTCCCTACCACTGCCAGATCTGCACTGTAAGAATGGCCTAACACCTGCAGAGCTTTAAATATTTTAGCTCACTATGGCAAGAATTAAAAAATGAATCATTTCATAATGAATAGTTAGTTCAAACAGAATTGCTTTCAGAACATTTCTAATATTTTCTCTAGCCCAGTGTAAGTGACACAGGAACATGTCACAGCGTAAGGGTAGAGGATAATGCTCAGAAATACACATTAGTGTTGCTACCACCTGAGGTCAACTGCTGGCCATCCTGTTTCCATTCTCCATTTCAAAACAGGGGCATAGGCCTGCACTTTCAGTGACACTGCATCCGTTGGATGAGGAGACAAATACTGTCTTTTCCCTGGGCTCATTTTATTCACCAGGGTCTGCGCATATGGTACTGTCTGAGAGCAGCTGTTACATTTCTTGAGCTCCTTAGGGTGCCCTAAGGTAGAACATGTCCTTTCCACTCGATAACAGAGTCGAAGCTAACAGAAAAATGTGCTTTGGGCACTTTTGTTTTGTTTCTTTCCAAGAGACCAAAACTTGAAGAGTGAAGAATAATTAAGAATTGAGCCAAATTCCTGGTCGTTCTTGATTTTATTTTCTCAAAACCCAACTTTATTTGATAGGGAATGTCTGATTACTAAAACTAAAATAAATCAAATGCTCAGTTCTGTAAAACACAGGTACTTAAAACCATTTTGGATTAGTTGACAGTTACAGACTATTATCTTTCTAGTTTTTAGTAGACAAAAGTTCCTCAGAATTCCTATGGAGAATAAAGTTGTACTACTTTAGAAACAAGTATTTTCTTACAAATCTTAAGTCAGTAAAACTCTGGAACGTCTTACAGACTTTGTAGAGTGTTTCCCAAGGGAAAGGGAAATCTCAAATGGTAGCAGTCATGCATTCTTCTCAAGGGTTAAAATACACCATTGTCTTGACACTACAAAACCAAATAATTTTCAGAATAATGGAAAAGAAAAAGTAGTTGGGAATGTATTACAACCTCAGGATATGCAGCTGGATGAAACTAGGCTTAACAATCAGAGAGCTGACATTTTTCTGGTCTGACATTTTACACACAAAAAGCTCTGCCATAACAAACCAAAAGTCCATCCTCTGTCTCCAACAGCTGCTAACAGCAGATGCCCAGAATTATTTGGGAAAGAAATATAAAGATACTGTCCAGAATAGTAACTTATGCATTGTGTGCTTTAAAAAGCAAGTGTGAAGTCTTTATAAGTGATATTTCCCAACAAATACTTCTTCCATGAATTTATCCAACTGCTTTATGAACCCATACAAAGTTTTGCTGTTCAGTGCCCTACCAACTAAAAACAATGCATTTGTAGAGAACATAGTCTTTTTCCCAAATAATTAATTTACTTACACATACAAAACCTTGTCCTCAACTTTGGTTACTACTTACTCTTGTATCTTTCCCACTCTTAATATAGCCTTCCTGTGCTAGGGGATCAGAGCAACACATGGTATTTAAGATGCAGCTCACCATGGATACAGGCCATAATAAAGTCTGGCATTTTGTGCTCTGCTCATTTCCTAACAATTCCCAACATTTTATTTGCTTTTTTGACTGCAGATGAGCACTCAGCTGACATTTCACAAAACAAAATCCATTAGTACAGCCTAATCAGAACTGTTGTCTGCATTTGTACTCCCAATTTATTCAGTTAAGTTAATCTTGTTAATTTTCTATTTGTTATGATGGGTATTTATTTCATAAATGGACTCTGGACTATTAGACTATACAAGTGTGCATCTGAGTACTTTTAATTGCACTAATGCATGCTTTAAGCGTATGCTTTAACGCTACGCTTTTCTCTGTAAAAGACATTCAAAAGCAAGGCTTCGCTTCATAACCATTAAAGGGGAAAACTGAAAAACTGGAGGGCCTGCAACATAACTTTATTTCACTTTTTTTCCCCTCTCTTCTGCTGCACAAACTTTATATGCACTTTTAGTAAAGTTGGTTAGCGGACCTTTGTAGAAAATAAATGCAGTATAATAATTAAAAGAAACAAGTCAGTCTACACTCTTCCCTTGTGAAGTCCTTCCAACCTCACTGTTTTTTACATTTGTAACAAAAACTGCAGGTGATGACCTCACAGCTAAAAGTCTTGCCTTCCTGCAAGACCAGGGCCCCTCTGGTTGTACTGAGCAACAGTTATTCATTGTTGAGACATGAACCAATAACTGTCCTGGAAGCCATTTGCTGATTAAAGTATCTCAAATGGAAAAAGCAGCACAACATCCAGTATTTCTGATTTGCCCCAAAGTTATGGAGGAGAAACACATAAAAAGTGCATGACCTCATTTTAATGGGAAAAAAAAAGTCGTTTCAAGATATTTTACAAAAAGCTTTTTCAAATAAAACAATAATGGAATTCTCCATTTTCACCTCCAGACTTTAAATTATAAACAAAAACATAAACACATCTGACAGCAAGATTGACCATTTGCAGCAATGCTTTTCTCTTAACTGTTATCTTATACCATCTGAAAATGTTTAGTATAAAAACACTGCAATATCTTTGTACAATTTAGCAAATGTTTATGGGAAAAAAATGTTCATTCTAGAAGATGAAAGATAGAAGTCTTGGAAAAGAATTTGACATGAACACTATATTTCTATTACTGAGAAAAATGTCTTTTAGGTGAATGTTGCTCTCCCTTTCCCAGTGCAGCCAGTGTTCAGCTTTTATCTTTTGCTATTCACCAGTAATAGAATAGTTTTAAACATTTTGCTATTAAATGTCACAATAAGAGCAAAATGTTTTAATATACAAAACACCATGTTCTTTTCTGACAGTTCAGATGCATCTCGAAATGTGTAAAGAGCAGATGGAAAGTAGTCTATTCAAATGGACACATTCGCTCTAAGTGCTAAGTACAAAACGCGTTGAAATAAAGAGTAATGCGTTTGAATGTCACTGAGCTTGGCATAGTGCAGAGGCACCTGGAGGCTTTATGCAGCCGTCGTACTGCCAGAAAGGAAACACACTGCATGTACTTCACAAAGAGCAGTACATTTTTCCCAGGTTTTGTGTTTCCCTGTCTCTATACAGAGAGCACCACAAAATCGTTTGAGTTGAAAGGGACCTTTAAGGGCCATCTGGTTCAACTTTCTGCAATGAACAGGGACGCCTAGAGCTCTGTCCCCCTGACCTTGGGTGTCTCTAGCGATGGAGCACCCACCACCTCTCCAGGCAATCTGCACCAGTGCCTCACCGTCCTCCCTGTAAAAAACTTCTTCCTTATGTCCAATTTAAATCTGCCTTCTTTTAGTTTGAAACCATTTCCCCTTGTCCTATCACAACAGACCCTGATAAAGCATAGAATCGTAGAATCACTAGGTTTGGAAAAGACCTTTAAGATCATCCAGTCCAACCATCCACCTATCACCAATATTTCCCCACTAAACCACGTCCCTTAGTACAACATCTTGAATACATGTCCATTGAATATGTGTATGTCTCCTTCTTTCTTATAGCCCCTCATATCATTCAGTTCAACCCACTGTTAATTTCTAATTTCAGATAAATCCCTTGTAAACACGTCCTTGCACTTCCCCAGGCACAGAAGAGTTAAATGTTTCAAGTGTGCATTTGCCTCGGTCAGGCTGGGATGCCCTCTCAAAGCAGAATGCTGCCCTTAACTTCAGCAATATCTGTCATAAGTCTCTGAATGTGAGAGGTGACATAAATATAGCGCTGCCATTTAAAAAGGATAACAAATTCCTTTGAAAACAGCTTCCATTTCTTTCGCCTTTCTTCCCCTCACTATTTCATCGTGGCCTGCTACCTGCTGCTTGTCCTAATAGCACGAGGCCCCAGGCTGCCCGAGCCTCTGACCTGCTGCAGCTGCTAGGGCTGGATTAGGACTTAGGGAAAGCAGAATGCTAACTGCTTAAATAGATCTAAACCAAACCTATTCAGCTGCACAGAAAATGTGGGGTTTTTATTCTTTTTTTTCCCCCAAACATACATTTCAAATTTCAGCTAAACACATGCTGAGTTGCAAATGTCTAAACCTTATAGCCCATCAAATCAAAACTGAATTTAGCTTAATGACATTCTCAGCATGAATAGTATGGATCTGAACTATATCTAGTTTTCTGTGCTCAGGCATGACAAATCCTAAAGTTATGTTAATGCAGTACTGGGAATTTCACCTTTAAAACTAAATGGTAGCAAAAAATGTAAATACTGAAGTACCTGAAGAGCAGATCTAATTCCAGATCTATTTCTTTATAATTATTTGTGTGAAAGGGGGTTATTTGAATGTAATTTCTTGGAGCTTGTCTCTTTAATGACAATTGAGAAATGTTTGGTGGCTTTCATAGCATTTGGATGGCAAAGTTCATACGCCATGGCTTTCTTTGAAGGCTTGGTGATAGCACAAAGGTGAGAAGGCCCTCAATGCATGAGCTTCATTGAAATTCCATGCTGCCACAAATATTTGTCCTTCATTCAGCTTTCCAATTACGCAGTACATTTTCCAGTTTTAAGAACAAAATGTACTTTGGCTTTTTTTTCCCTTGGAACAATACTTAAAATGAAAGATGCTTTCTTTCAGATCTCTGTAGCTTCTTTGCTATTATGCATTTTCCTTGAAACAACCTTGCTTAGCTTCAGACCCATTATAAAATACGCATCTCTGCCAGTAAAGTGTGGCAAAGTACAACATTTTTCTGTGTTCACTCCTCAAGCACATGGATAGATATTTTTCACACTGTTATATCATGTGGCTTGTTTTGTTTTGGTTTTTTTTCTGAGGGCATAAGTGAGCTCCAGCTGACACATATGCCTTGCTTTTGCTTCTTAGGATAAAGTTCAGCGCACTTCCTACAGCAGTGACCTCTTTACTCTCTTGAACTTGTCATACAATAATACCTCTTGTAAGAAGGTTACAAATACAGACACCAAATGTTAGGTCTCTACCTTAACCTAAGTTTAGGACATTAAATCTTCCAGACCCGTGAAGAATTAAAGCCATTAGGAATGTGCTGAAATCAGACTCTAGATGGGAATCATAAGTGCTTAGGAAAAAAAAAAAAAACAACAAACAGCTAAGCAATCTGATACTCCCTCAAAAGTCCTCTGAATTCAGCAAATAATGTCTCTCCAGAGCTGCAGCGATTTCCAGCTTTATGCTCAAACTGTCTTCCACAGAATAACACTGCCGACTGCAAAAGATCAAGAATCTACTACATAACTTCCTGCTTTTGCTGCTGCTCACACATTACTTATTGAACATCTAAATTGTTGTTTAAATGTCGGTCATTTTGGTGACAGATTTCCTTACAACCCTTTTCTATGCAGAGGAAACACTTCCCCTCTGTTCAGGGTAACTTCTGACACCTGTTAGGGCTCACTGAACAGACAATCATAGAATCGTGAAGGTTGGAAAAGACCTCTCAGATCTCCAAGTCTAATCATGGACCCACCTCCACAATGCCCACTGCCCTCAGTGCCACATCTCCTTGGTTCCTGAAGCCCTCCAGTGATTGCGACTCCACCACCTCTCTGGGCAGCCTGTGCCAATGCCTAACCTGAACCTGGAGCAACTTAAGGACCTCTTGCCTTATTGCTGTTACCGAGGAAAACGGAACAATCCCCATCTAAACACAGCCTTATTTCTGGTCGCTGTAGGCAGCAATGCCAAATGGATTCAAAGAGTGATGATCACCAATTATCCATGAGGATAACTTTGATGGAGGGATGGGCAAGGTGTTTAGTATTACAAACCACGTTTGTAATTAGTCTTCCACTTCAAAAGTATGCACTTACACATGAACACACTTAGAAGTGAAACAAAATGATCACGCGGGCACTGCATTACTAACGCAATACCTGTTTTTATACTGCACAATTGGTTGTTGGATTAATTAAACAGCTTGTGAAAATCAGTAACGAGTACTGTGCTCTCATAACTGCACCGAACTCAGTGCTGGAGCTGTTTGCTTTTTCTCATGCTTTACTCTTTCTGTGCTTTTTGCAGTGCAGTGTGACCCACCATGTGAGCATGGAGGAACTTGTGTAGCTCAAAACACTTGTTCTTGTGCCTATGGATTTGTTGGTCCTCGATGTGAAACAAGTATGTACAAATTATTGGAATCTTCTCTCCTCCTTACATGTTTGAGTTTGTATAAAATGATAAAGCACAAAAAAAGCTTTTTTATATTCCTGTATTTCCCTCTAAAATGCTGACTGAATACAGCAAGGAAATCAAAGCATAATATTTTGTAGTAATACAGCAGCTGAATTATTTCAGCACACATATTCACCAGCAACATAGCTGTATTATGTAAAAATATGTACATCTGTGTCAACATATTCCACATAAAATTGCCTCCCGAAAAACAAACAAGGAAAAAACTCCATGTTATTTATAGCAACATTTATGAAATGTGAGGTTGTAGGAGTGAATGCAGTAATAGTGATTGTGAGAACATAAAAAGGCCATGCCAATTAGCCTATTTGGGTAATGTTACTGTGCAAAACAAGTCATGAAAGAGGTTTAATACATAGAAAATATATTCAATGTCTGGGGAAAAAAATCAGCCTTCAAACTGTTTCATATAGGTTGAATGGTAAAACAAATGCAGTTGCATTACAGATCTCGCAGCTGACTTAAATATCAGGTTGCTACTGACAGGAACATAATTTTATCTGTGAGCCAAGGTAGCTTGAATACTTCAAGACCAAAGAATTTTAGATGCAAGACTTCTGATGGAAAGAATGAGCAAAAAGAGAAAGAAAACCAAAGGAAGGGACAGAATCGCCGCTTGGTTTACTTTTGGACTAAAACAATTAGTTATTCGCTGTAATTGAGCACCTTTATGACCCACATCAGTATAACTGATAACATATTAAATTCCTTTCTGTGCTTTCCAGTGGTGTGTAACAGGCACTGCCATAACGGCGGGGTCTGTGTGTCGCCAGACGAGTGCAAATGCAGAAGCGGATGGAGCAGCCCTTCCTGTGAAATAGGTAAGCTGTTAGAAACCATTGGTCACTCCTTTCTTTTCCTGCCTGAAATCCACGTGATTTGTATAATTCAGCAGTCAAAGTGGGAGCTGCTTGAAAAATTGAAATGTAAGAAGAGCAGGAGACATAGTAAAGGGCAAAGCCTCAAGAGGCCTTGAAATTATGTGAGTATTCATAAGCTTGGCTGCTTAGCTAAATCTCAGGGCCACTTACAGGAAAGCCACAAGCAGAATCTTTTTGCATCTTTTTTTAAGCTCATGTGATACTGGAATTTGTCCTTAGTATGAAAATAAAGTTCTTCACCATATCAGCAGTTTCAACCTTGGGAAGCTTGGTATCTTCTGCCAAATCAGTTGAGATTTTGGCATTATATTGATTTACATTTTCATTTAAATGCTTCAAAAATCACCATGGCCATGGACATGAACTCGCTCTGCATTGGCACTGTCCACGCAGAGCTCAAAGAAGTGCTGTCTAACAGTCCCAGTGCCTTAGTGGCAGTGGTGAGGGCAATGCACTGCTCAGTATCCATGCAATTCCCTTGTTTCATTGCTTGTAGCCCTACACTTTTCTCTCAAGGTTAGGAGAAAGAAGAATGGTCTGGCTTTTGGCGATTTACAACAGGATACAGTAAAATCTGACTATGGAGACAGAAATAGGAGGTCTGATTAAGCTAGGAAGACAATGCAAGCGGGTCAGCATGACTTCTGCTGCTAAGTTACCAGCTACAGTTGCTACAGTTCCAGTACTCTGTAGTCTAAGGAAGAAAAATGAACCAAAAGAAGGGAAGTTATCAGAAGCCTGCCTATTAACCAAGGTTTTTTTGGTCTATTTCTTGGATCCAATTTTGCCATTACAGAAGATGGCTTGTAACAGTGTAAGACTGAACAAAAGTAGGTTTAGAAGGAGAATTTAACTACCCACTTCCCCTGATAACTGTAGAATATTTAACTGCTCCTCTTGGCTGCACTTAATACATGCAAAGCACCTACAAAAAACTTGCACTCAGGGAAAAACCATCACCAACAGTCAGCACAAAATGCCAAGGTAAGGCCCAGAATTAGGTACCTATTATCAGTCAGGACTGATAGCTCTGAACCCTATTAGAATAGCTGTAGCTAAGACCTTCATCCCACAGCCAAAGTACTAACGCTGGAGTACACATGCTTTCTTCTCAAGGCACAGCCACTATAGCACTCACCTGGGACAAGGCATGCAAAACTGAAATATGAAAAGAAGCAAGCATGAGAAGTATCTTAATCAGTGCCAGACCTCAAAGCTATAGAGGCAATCTGCCTTTTCCATGGCAAATATTAACGACTAAGACACCTTCAGCCTACATTACCTCTCCTGGCAGGTGAGGGATGTCATCTTCACATCTTTCTCCCTGAGATTTTTTCTAAATGGCAGACCTAAATTATGGCGGACACATAAATTAGCCTAGCTAAGATCCAGTGTAAATGATTGGGATTGCCACTAGCTATTCTGGTTCCCCCTATCTCCTCTTTCTGCCAGAAATTACTCTCCTTGCATTTTGCACGTGTCCTGGCAACAGATGGAGACAGGATTATTCTAAGGGTAGGACAAGTAGCAGCAGCAGAGGTGGTAATTTTCAACACAAAACAGCAGATTTGGGGTTTGTTTGTGTGACAATACCTTAAATGAAAGAATACCAGCCTCAGCTTTCCAGCACAATTTTGTGTGTGCTAGGCAGAGCGTTCCATGGATACTGTTGGCCTTTCCCTCCTAAAGGGTTTTTACAGATGGAAATACAAACACTGACAGAGTGTGGACATCTGTGAACTAGCTGGGACAAAGAGGGAACTAATCCAAATTTACCATTAGCAATGAGCAAAGTCCATTTTGACTTCTTAAGTGATTGCTGCTTAGTCAGAACAGCCTCTCATCTAGACTACAGTTTCACTTTTTTCTCTCTCCAAATTGACATTTTATTTCTCCTTTAGTTCTTCTGAAACATTTTAGTGATGCTTAATTTATTTAAGCTTAAATTTATTTAATTTATCTAATGGGCTATTCTGTAAGACACTGAAAGACAAAAGGGATAGAAGGAAAAAGCCTATTTTAAAGTGCCACTCCATAATAAAATCTGCACAATCGTCCTTATTCTTCACACAGCGACTTCCCAACTGAAATAGTTCACAGCTGAAATACCTTTTTTTTTTTTTTTTTTTTTTTTTTTTTTTTTTACTACAGTCAGGTACTTGCCACATAGAAATATGTCAGACAGCCTTTAATTCCTAATGCCTGTTATATCATCTATAGTAATAACAGACAAATAAACAGGCAAAGCCAGTAGCTTTGTTGATGATACATGAGCCAATATGTTTGTGGGAACTGGCATTTAAATGAGGCAGAACAAACAGAGGTTTTCTGGTGCATACCTATTCAGCTTCCCTGAAATGCCACTCTGCTCTGCTGCACTCAGACAAAGCAGCAAATGGCCAATATCTCTTTTCCAGGTTATGCAGACTGTTTGCAGTGTGGCTGGATTTTGTTACCTGGGGATCGCGGGTGGTCAGGATACCAACGTAAAAGCAAACAAGCTGGGCAAGCCAAAGGAAGATATCAGAAATAAACTATTATATAATATTTGGTTTCATTCCTCTAGCTATGCTAAAACACCACTGAAATGCACCCACTGTGATGACAATGAATAAATAACACAGCCCATCTGACCAGTAAGGATCGTGTGAAATTTATCACAGCATTGCGATATTAATTCCAATGATGTGTGCAGCAGCAAAAGAGCATCTAGTGTAAAGGTTCAGAGTGATAAGAGATTAATAAATTTATCTTACATTCACATACAGCTGTGTGCAACCCTGTGTGCTTAAATGGAGGAATCTGCGTGCGACCAAACACTTGCACGTGTCCTTACGGTTTCTATGGGCCCCAGTGCCAGAGAGGTAAGAAAGTTCTATTCATCATGTTGATAAAGGATGCAGGCTTAAAACATAAACAGCAGCCTATATCATTGCCTGCCCCCACATGCAGTATATCGAGAGATTTGCCTTGTCATAACTCCCTGCATGTTCTGTGGATGTTGTGGTCTGTCGTAAATCTGCATTAAAGTGTTCTTAACAGTACTGTGAAGGAGCAAGCACCTATTTAGGATGGCATTAATGATAACTAAACAATTAATCTATAGCTATTTGAAGCCAATTCTATCTCTGATGAGCATCTAGTCAATTAAACTTTAAAGTACGGCTCAACTTTGTTCATTTTACGTTCTATAGTGGGCATTACAGTGTGTTTCAGAGCCAGATGATTTTTCTTCAGATTGGCCTCCACGTATCACCTGCTCGACCATCCTAACATGTTGTGGATGGGAGACTTACAGGACTTCTTCAGGCCTTTGCTCAAATATCTGATCAAATATCACACAGCCTAATTTTTGTGTAGGACCTCGTTTTGAATCCATCTCCTAAACAGAAGAGCTCTAATCTGAGGCTAATGATGCTACAGAAGTCAAATTAATCATAGAATCGTTAAAGCTAGAAAAGACCTCTAAGATCACCAAGTCCAACCTCAAGTCCAAGTCCACCCCACCATGCCCACAAACCATGTCCCTTATTGTCCCATCTCCACGGGTCTTGAACACCCCCAGGGATGTTGACTTCACCCCCTCTTTCTGAGAAAAAATTTTTCCTAATATCCAACCAGAGTAAATCCTCTTAACTACCCATTCGACCAAGCACGACAGACATGAGGAAGAAACTTATGTTTAGGGCTCAAATAGCTGAAAGATACCTGCATTGAGCTTGGCTTTAAAACTCCCTCCCAAATCTGGAAATATAAATACACTCTTATTACCAAATGAACTATTTCAATATTAAATGTTTATCTCTCTTTCTCTCTCTGTTTTATTTCCCTGGAGTTCCTACGTGAATGCAATCCTAATGCACGTTTTTTGCAAGTGAATGATTAATGACAGTAGAGGTTGCTGGAAGCTCTTTGTTTTTGTGATGATGGCAGGGAAAGCGAGAGGGAAAAATTATGCAGACTCTGTAACTTAATGATTTTTCTCTTGATGTTCAACACAGAAAGTGCTTTTCAACATCTAGTTGATTTGGATAGTGGCTGGATACTGAAGAAAAGCCAGCTTCATTGAGGAAGGGGGAAGAATAGCGCCAAAACAAAGATATCAAATAACAAACACTGATATTTCAAGGGCAGCTGCTTTGGAGAAGCCCTTTATTTAGAGCTAAAAACCAAAGAGGTTCTCTGGGATATTCCCATCACTTAGCTTCAGGTATCTAGAAGAGATTAGGTGTGAAGAGTTGTGTCCCACATTCCTTCCACAAACCAGAGAGAACTGACATTTCAACTGGGCATCGGCAGGAATTACCCTTTGGAAAGACATCTTCTCTACCCCAAATAACCAATAAGCCTCTGCAGACTGTTCTCCCAACACATGCACCTCAATAAAGGGCCTATATTTAGGTGATATTGACACCTGTTGTGGTTTCAGTGCAACAAAATTTTCCCTTTCCTTCTCCAGCTGTCTGCATTCCTCCTTGTAAGAATGGCGGCCACTGTGTTCGAACCAATGTGTGCTCCTGTACTGAGGGCTACACTGGAAGAAGATGTCAGAAGAGTGAGTTACAAAGTTCCAACGTTCTCTAAAACCAAACAGTTTTTCTTCCTTTTCTGCAAGGTCAATGGAATATTTATTCTCTCTGATCTTTATTTTTACCATTGCACATAGAGGACCATAGACCTGTTCACTGGAACAGGTTGCCTAGAGAGGTTGTGGATGACCACTCCCCAGAAACATTTAAGGGCAGGCTGGATGGGGCTGTGAGCAACCTGGTCTACAGGGAGGTGTCCCTGCCTATAGCAGGAGTTTGAAACTAGATTGTCTTAAAGGTCCCTTTCAACCCAAACCATTCTATAATTATATGATACTATGTCTCTATGCTAGGCCTTGTATCAACCTTTTAATCAGAATATCACTATCTCAGGTCATTGTGGGGAGCAGAATGTTTTGCTAGAGTCCTTAAATATTTCATGCATTCAGAGTGAGTCATTCTCATTGTATTTGGAGATAAATGAATTATTCTGCACTAAAGATTTTGTGGAGAAGAATAATAAGCCAAAGGCAGAGCAGCAGAGAACCTTAAAAATATCAGCATCTCATACTAATTATCAGTAAAGGCTAATTTGCCTTGCTTTTGCTCTTGTTACTGAAAACTCCTTCTCCACCTAAGCATCAGTATTCATATTCTATTTTTTTAATGAGAAAATAGATTTTTTCAACAATTTCTGCCACTCAAGGAGTTTAGAATATGTATAGGTAAAGTTTTTATTATTATTATTATTATTATTTCTTAACCAGTTTGAAGTTGGCAAAAGTGGAGCTGTGAAAACAACCATTCTTAACAGGAACAATCTCTGTGTTTCCAGAGCACTTTATGTCTCTTACACACAAAGAAAAAAGCTGGTAAAAAATTCCTTCCAGCAACAGAAGCCCACACCACAACTCTCCTCTCCTTCAACAGAGGGAATCACGTTGCACAGTCCTGCCTGGCTGCAGAGGATACAATTGAATAGTCTGTTCTGGCAGAAAGAAGCTGGAGGAAAGAAAGGAAGAAAAAAACAGATGTTTGGCATTTTGTTTTTGAGGTTAGAGAACATTAGAAAAGTGCTGTTTCCTGCTCTGAACATACTACCACATCTGAAGACAGATCAAAGGCAAAGAGTTGATCATGACTGCAGCCCAGCAAAGCACTCCCCTAAACGCTTCCACTGCTTTCAACACACTGAGCACTTCTAAGCTAATGAAGTTTCTGTTGCCTACCTTGGTACAATCTTTTGTGGCAGAGCTTCCTGAGATAGTGAAAATATTTTTGTGCTGTTTAATCTGAGCCTCCATTCCTCTCCCACAGCCAGGATATAGTCTGTTTTATTTAGCTTCATGTTATAAGAACTTAAAGAAAGGTGCAGGGTCTGGGATGAATGAAGAGAAACTAGAAAGCAATGGCTACAATTTGCTTCCTGACTGAATAGGTGAAAAAAAGTTGAGTATATTTTAGATTTTTTTCCTGTTTACAATCAACTGTACAGGGACTGGTAGCGTGCTGCATAGAAAGCAATAGATTGTTCACAGCTCTTCATAGCAAGCAGTTACTGTTACAGATCTTTGCCTTTGCATGGCTGGTGTATGAACCAGTTTCTCTACCAGAGGATCCAGGTTTCTCCTCTCCCAGACACATGAGGGTCTGGAGGCCACACAGCAACAGCACCAGTACCACACTCAGCTCAAAACCCTTCCAACCAACAGAGAAAACAACTGGACACACCACTCAGAGATGGTCCTCAGCCACACTTGAGAATTCAGACACCAAAGGCTCTTTGAGCCTTTTTACCATGTGGTTTTCGGCACAATTTTAGCATAGACATGATTGGTCAACTGACATACTTGGCGCACATTTAAGGATTAGAATTATATAGCCACGTATTATTAACTTATTTACACAGGAAAATTAAAAAGTGGAAAATTAATTCCATTACCCAACGCATTTTCCTTAACACAGAGGAAAAAGTACCATAGAATCATACCACAACACTCATTCTAAGTTCCAAAGAGTTAAAGCATGTAGTTCTTCTGCAGCATCACTAACTGCAGACATACATATTCTTACAGAGTTACCAGATAGCAATGATGCTTAACGACAACAGAAGAACAATTCTAACCAATTCTTTGAGCACTTACCCCTTGGATATTTTGGCACCGTTCTCACTACTTTTAGGTATTTCTCTTTCCTTTATAAATCTCTCCTGCATGAACAGAGAAACAAAAGCTTCTGTTTGCTTTTGGCAGCTTCAGATTGTCAAGTGGAGGAGATAGTTAAAACTAAAAGCTGTGGCAGCCAACCAAAGACAGGTTATTCCTAAACCAAGCCCAGATTCACTACTGGTTTATTTTAAATGTAAAGCAACACGCCTTAGGATGTTCACATCCATCCCTGTACAGCTTGGTGTTGCTGATACTCTGCCTGGCAGCTGTGAACTCGCAGGGCAGAGTGGGAGCTCCATGCCTTCACTATTCAACCTTAATCATCATTGCTTCCTTGGGGAACAGAGAAAGGCATTCAGCCTGTTCTCTATGTAAATAAACATCACCTCCAAAGAGGCGTAAATCAACCCAGTCTGATTGGCTGCCAGCTAAAATATAAGGCTTTGCCTGGTGCGTTTGCTGATAAATAACTGCCTGGTGATTATGCAAACCAGACACCCACACCCAGGACGGGAGGGTGTCAGAGCTGACAAGGAAATGTGTGGTTATGCATCAGCAGTTGTACAACCTTGTGTCCTCATTTGCTGCGCGTTGTTTTCAATACAGTCGGTCTTGTTGAGCATAAGGAGGTAAACGCTGACAGCACTTCAAAATGAAATATATTTCTGGATCAACTTTGCATCAAGAAAACATACTCCGCTTCAGTAATAAGGAAAAGCTATTTGTCTGTGGTTTAAAATTCCTTTTTGATGAAAATGCACAGCTGTAGCTGTCTTGGAATTTCACTGATTTCATGAGACTCTAACACTGTGTTCACACGAATTCCCAACACGTTCTTACAAACATTAAAAGCAAATAGATCAAATGTTATGTATATTTTCATTGGACTGCTTTATAAATAACTTCTTCTAACGATAGCTAATAAAAGCTGAGTTCACTTTTCATATGAAGGATCGGAGTGAAGAAAAAGAGAGGAAAAGAGATTCCTGGGACCCCAGGTTTATCCCTCCTCTGCTGCTAGCGAGATCATCTCTGAGCAAAAAGGCAAGCCACAGCTCCCTCTGGAGCTTATCAGCAAGCAAAGGGCACAGGAGAACAAGGCCGAATTCCTCCTCCTCCCTGCTGCAGAATACCAAGCAGACCTCATCCTGTCCTGCAGGCCCAAGCTCTCCTGCCCTCCTCAGCTGGATGGGTTTATTGAACGGCTTCAAACAGAGGCTACATTCCTGCTCACAGCTGTTCTATGCTATCAGACCCATCCAACGCTGGGAGTTTGCAGATTACATTTCAAATATAGTAGATAATTATTTCTCTGCTTCTATTCCTGCAGACAGGATTTATAGCCAGTACACAGCATGCAGCATAACCCTAATTCATTCTTTTAGCTCTACTTTTTTCTTACCCTTCCCCTTTTCTCTTTCCTTCCCAGCATCATGAGAACTTTACTTGTATGAAATCTAGAGACAAACTAAATTGGAAATGTGAACACCAGGTTTCAAAAGCAAATTTTGCTCAGCAATGTCACAGTGAAAGTCTCTGACTTCCTGAATTCCAGCCCTCCCATGCCACATTGCTGTAGATTATTTCCTTGTGAGTTGTGTAAGCAGGAAGCTTTACTGCTCAACAAATTACACTTCTATTGAGTTATCATCTTAACAACCGGCAGTATATTCTCTGGTACATCCACACTGAGCAGGCAGATTGCCTCAAGCTGTCCAAAATCAGTGAGTTTGCAGTCAAGAGCTCCAGCATCCCTCCCACACAGCTGAGCATGGAACAGCCCATGTGCCTAATTCAATGAATGGAGCCATCATTAGCCTCAGACTTGCTTTTCTCATGTCAAGGATGTGCTTGTAAGCAACAATGATTTGGCCAAGGTTTCTGGACGGCCAGTGTCCTCAGCAAGTGGGTGTTTGGAAATAAGTTAACAGCTGCTCATGTGGAGAGGCTCATAACTGATGTAAACTGCACTAGTTGTGCTGACAGGAATAGAAGGATTGGCAGGTTTGCTTGTTGTCTAGGTGCAAAGTCTGGGGATTTTGAAAGGGAAATACTGGTCTCAGTTCTTACTTGATTTTGAAGCTTGCGTAACAGAATAGGCTGTATTAGATGTCATCTTCCTTCCTTGGGCAAGATAAGCAACAGAAGACAAAGGAAAAAATATTCAGGGCCACTACTGTCTTTCCCGTTCTGCTGAGCATAAACTGATCTGTGCAATTTGCATGGGGTGAATGTGGTGAGCTCTGACTTCCCAGAGACAGAGAGACAAACTGGAAACAGTGGCTCAAGGGATAGTCTGGTTGTGGTCTGCACTCAGAGCTCTTCTCCTCTCTGCTCTCTTAGCAAGAATGTGGCATAAAGCCATTAACTGGCCTTTTGTCAAGCTATGTTTTGTTCACATACAAGTAGCTGGTGCATTTATTTTATCAGGAGCTTTGAGCACATGCAGTTGTCTCTAAATTTATTTTTCAGAAAGAGAACAAGAATGTATTTGGGTAAGAACTGACTATATATCCCAAATAAGAAGCAAAGAAGCCTTATTAAATTTTTATTCATTCCTTAAGAAAAACATTCCCAGACTACAGAATGATTTTTGCAGGAGTAGCAAATCTGGGGTTTGGGCCAATATTTCTTTATATGTACTTAAATGCACTAAAGAAATGTGTCTGATTTGCTGCTATATGTAAATGCATACTTAAATAGCAGGGATTCCTGAACTGACACATTTCTCTTTGCCGTATGCTTCCACGTGAGGATGAGTGGCTTTTCAATGACTTGATTTCAGTAACAATACATTCTAGGGTCTATTTCTAATTAAAATATTTTAATGTCTTTTCTTAAAAAAGGGGTGTAAAATC